AGCGCGGGAAGGAGGGGAGTGACAGAGCGCGAGGAGGGGCACGAGGGGGAGGGGGGGGGGGGGGGGGGTGCTTAGGGTCACTAATCGTCTTCATCGTCATCTTCATCCTCAGGGTCTCTCTTCCTCTTCTCTCCTTTGGTTGGCGACGATTCATCTGTGCAGGGGGGAACATTCTGTTAATTTACAGCCAACTCCAACCACCTGCTACCTTTCAGACTCACTTACCAAACTAAAACTATTCATGGCAGGAGTCAAAGGATCATTTTAGTCATTGAAGTTCTAAATGTTGGGTTGAAACATTTTGTTTAACTAGCTATTCCTCTGGATTTGTTCAACCCAACCCTTCAGCACATTTTCTAGGCTAAGATCCAGTTATAACATTTTTATACCCAATGGGACAAAGTATTATTTCGCCTCGACCTTGAGTTGGGCATTATTTTTTAGCAATCTTTTGGGTTAGAGTGCAGCACGTTACAAACCATCATCCTCCTCATCTTCCTCTTCCTCCTCCTCACTGTCTACGTCTCCATTCACCTCGCCGTCCTGCAGAGACAAGTCAACATCAAACACCAACGTCCTGATGATGCGTGAAGGACCATCAGACAGACAGACTCACCTCGTCGTCCACACTGTCCTCGTCATCTTCATCATCATCTTCAGCCACAACATCCTCTTCATCCTCATCTTCTTCGTCCTCAAAATCCTCTGATTCACCCTCTAGAAAAAAAAAGCAAGTGTTTTGCTGACTTATTTGCTAACAATTAGCAATTTTGCTAAATGTCTGGCTGCGTTTTCTTTTGCCCTCTATCCTATAGTAGAAATGTTTAACAACAAATACTTTTACCTTCAACTAACTTCAACATAAAGAAATATATAAATAAACTCTGTCGGTGTTCAACACACAAATGACAGATTTGCAGAGACTGTGGTAGACTGCCGCACTGCGTGTTTGAACTTTCTTGCCAACTTTTAGTCTGTTCTTTCACAGTCTCACCTTCACCGTCCTCATCCTCGTCCTCCACACCGTCTCCCTCTCCATCCGAGTCAGAATCCTCGCAGTCATCAATGTCATAGCCATCCAGGTAAGTGAGCTGAGGGAGGAGTTTGAAAATGGAGCCTCGGTAGTCGGCCAAATTGGTGACCTCACAGTTGAACAGGTCCAAGCTCTTAAGCTGTGGCAGCTTTTTCTGGGGACACCGAGAGAGAGAGAGAGAGAGAGACAGAGAGGTTTGAACAGAAGTTTTGTTGTCTTGGATGAAGACCGCTGTAGCAGACTAGATCATTGTTCGATCATGTTCTGGTGTTTTTGTAGCTCCACCCACCAGGGGCTCCAGGGTGCTGATGTCCTTGAACTTGTTCCCACTGAGGTTAAGATGTGTGAGGTTTACCAGCCTCTCTGCCAGGACCTCCAGACCACCTGATATCCTGTTGTCACTCAGCTCCAGCTGCAGACAAACACACAAGACAGGACACTTTCCAGTTTCTATCTGATCAGGATTTGGCTTTGAAAATCATCTGGTCTGATGGTCTCACCTTTCTAAGTTTGCTCAGTTTGGGCAGATCTGCGACGCTGGTCAGGCCAACGTTGATGAGACTCAGGAGCTCCAGGTTGGAGAACTCCTCTGTGATGCCCTCGATCTTCCCTTCACTGGAGCGACAGTTGTCCAGAACCAGCTCTTGGACCTGAGCACAGGAAGGGCAAGATTTTTTTTTTTTAATTCCAGGATTTAACTAAAACATGTTAAAATCTTGTGGGGTCAAGGGTCATTTTAAGAAGTGAACATAAAAGGATGCTTTTTTAAAAAAATACTTTCATCTTATTTTTCCTGACCAACCCAACACCATATTTCACACAACCACTACACTATGGTACCAGTAGGAGTACTTGCATTGGCTGAGGAGAATTCTACCACTGAACCACTAGAAGCACAACTCCACAAAGCAGCAATGTCATATTTCAAGAATAAATCCTAGGCTCTGACTTTTTAAACTTAAATCCAGAAACTATAGATATTTTTTTCTTTTATAACTAAAAATCTGACAAATTCCCATTTTAAGGATAAAGATGTTAACTAAATAAAACAAAAGAAATGGGAGAAACACTGAAATGTACTTTCACTTGTACTTTTATTACATAAAAAAAAGACCACAAGACTAAATTTAAGAACTATTGTACTGTAATTAAAAACAGGGTTTAACCCTCAAGCAAAGACATCCACGCCAAATACTCATAAACCTTCGCAAGCAAAGACATCCACGCCAAATACTCCTAAACCTTTCTATTTCTGGTGGCGACCCAGATGAAAGGATTTCAAACACGATGTTATTCAAGAAAAAAATACCCCCATCACACCGACAAGCTGCCGGTGGCGGCCCAGTTCATGTAAAGGACTCTTCCTCGTGTTTCATGTTGGAACGCGGCCCAGTTCACTCTGTTTGTAAACTCCTCACACACGTGACGCTACACTGAGCTTCACTTTAGCACGTTTTCTGACCAATTCAATCTCCGTTTGCTCTGTTCTTTAAGAAGCACCACCGAAAAACGAGCTCCATTACCGTAGAACGTTGGCCCGACTCGACCTGGTTATAGGTACGGAACCGAGAGACCGTTAAATAAACTAATTCGACAACTACTGTTTTCATTAGCAAGTTAGCAGGAAGCTAATACTGCTGCGCTACGCGCCTTCACTAGGTGGGCTCCGTCTAACATCTGAATAGGTGACAATTTCAAACGTGTCAAAGTTTTGTTTTACACATTTAACAACATTGACTCTTCTACGAGCTCTACGACAAACACTAAGGCGACATTTACAACTGCGCGCACATTATCAAACCACAAACTTAAGTGCACGATATTAAAAAGCGATAATAAAACATCGCGACGAGTCATTTGTGCTCCACTGTTACTCTGACGGGTGAGCCAGAATGTGGTTGTTATTAAACCAATAAACGTCAACGAATATTTTGGACATATTTACTCATTCTGGCTTCGTTTAGACGATAAATAACCATTTCTAACTGTAAATAAGCGCTAGTTCAGATATTAGCCAGGCCCCAGATATGATAACGGGAGAGTCACTAATCATTGATACATTTACATGATTTACATCTAACATCTATTAACAACGACCTTATTGTGAAAAAATATTTGACAACTTATAAAATATTATTAATATAATTGTAAGACAAATTCAGGCAGCTGTTATGCGCATGCGAAGCCATCAATCGAGCGATCAACTAGCTTTTTATTTAAATAATTTAAGGCCACACACACACACACAAATCAAAGTTGGTAAACTCCTGTTGTGACGAGGAAAGAGACAATTCGGCAGTTTTCGTACTGTAGCAGACTCCCTGCCATGTGCTCAACACCATCAAAATTCGTACTCCGCCTCCTCCAAGTTTACACATCCGATAAACAAGCACTCAAAGCGGCTCCTCACCTCAGCCGGTGACCGGTGCCTCAGTTCCAGTGAAACCCTCTTCTTCATTTCCATCTTTTTCTGTCCTTGTCTTTGGTTCGGGTTCGTTTGTTGTCGAAAAACAAAAGAATATGTTGTTTCAGCTTGATCCGGTCTTCTCTATCAACACGCGGAACCACAGTGAAGTGATCGTCGGTGTTACCGTGGAATTTCCTCTAAAGACTTTCAATCTAAAACTCTAAGCGGAAGCGCCTTTCATCCCAACGACGTAACACCTTCCAGCGAATAACGATAATAAAAGTATAATCTGAAACAGAAACACACACACTATCATCCTGACACGTATCATCTTTCAGGACAGTGATGTCTGGCCTTGCATCAACCTCAAAGACACTATGTCATTGACATATTTTATTGAGGTACATTTGTTGTGAATAGAAACGTTCCAACTTCCGGTACACCCTATTGTTTTCCGTCAAACTTAACGGGCGCCAAACTGTTCCGCGTGAAAGTGGGTCAGGCCGTCAACTGTGTAAAGATGTGCTTCACTTGTTACACCGCCAGGAGGCATCCTCTGCAAATCTATACCGTTCAAAATGGCCCAAAAACGTCCTTTTTTGTAATTTTTGGAAAATGTTTGGAAAGTTTTATTATATATATAATAATGTTTTATTGTCACTAGCACCACATAAAGAATTGGTACCGTCAGACAGTCCGTTTAATTTTTTTTATTGTTACATTTTCACGACAAGCAGTTTCACGTACAGTGGTCAAATATTACGCAAATGTCCAACACAGGGAGAGTAACAGTACAACAGCTACTTTCTTGCTCCCAGAGATGGCCCCACACCATACCCCCCACCCCGATCCTCACACACTCAACATACTTGAAATATTTTGACAGTATTCAACAACACCACAGGTGCTAATCCAATAAGAGACGCAGGAATAAATAGACATAAATAAATAAATATTGGTAATTAATTCACTTTAAAATGAGCAAAATGTTGCCTATGTGCTCACTCTAACAAACACCAGAGGGCACTATTCTATAGCCACGTCACTTCACCTCCGACATCAGCCAAGACCAGCATCGTAGAACGCTAAGACTGGAAAGAACTTCAACTACAAGTTGTTGTTTTTTTTTTTTTTTACAGAACTTTTGGTTTAGACTAGTCGCTAAAAAGGTAGGACAAAAACTTTAAAGATAACATTTACACTAAACCTTGATTCAATCCCAATTACCCAAACTAATATTAAACTAAACAATTGGTTTCTCTCCCTGTTCCTCAAAAATTGTTCTTTAGTGTGACCAGTTTGCGGTACTCACTGAAAAGGCTATCTCTCAAGGAGAGACTTCACAGGAGCAAAAGACTATTTCTGTTTCCTACAACTGTTCCAGTCCATTTTAGTAATTGCTGCAGCAGAAACGTGCTTTTAGTTTTCATTTTGGGGCCGGTCGACTGTTGCTGATGCGGGAGGAAGCTGACGTGGCCATGGTCATAATGCGCTAACACTGGGATTACCCTTCAATGAGGTGAGACCACACTTTGTGCAAAGAAAAAAGGACAACGTCAGCAAAAAAAAAAAGTTTCTAGAAGGTTCCTGAAACTTGTAAAACACTTTTACATTTGTACAAACGGGAGATGGACTTGAAGTCAACTAAAGAGCATGCAATTTACACACACACACGTGCGCGCGTTCATGGTGTGTCCTCTTCACCTTTCAACAGGTAAAGTTATTACTGTGGTTACATACACAGGAACAGGAAACACACATCATGTGACCTTTAATATGAAGTAGAGCTGCTGAATCCATCCAACATGGAACAAGGATGGTAAAGTAGTAGGTGCAGTGTGAGAACACGTTAGAACCGATGATGTCATCTGACATTTAGATTTCTGTTAAACATTTCTTTGAAACAAATCTGTGGTTTCTAAAGGTCCACGTTGAAAAGACAGCGCACCACTTTCAAAATAAAAGTCTTCTTAAAACGGCATCTGTCTGTCAACACTTAATGTCTGTTTGTGTCCAAGCTCTGGGAACCTAACGTGTTCTGCAGCGCCCCCTTTCTGTACTTTTGTTGAGTTACCCCCCCCCCGCCCCCCGCCCCTCCTCGGCTTGATTCCTTTTTCTCAGTGGGTGTCCTCTGTCCAATACTTGATTTGCTGCATGTTAACAGGAGGCTGAATCTAATGGAGTACTAATGGACCACATGTGAATATTAGTACTACTCTCCCAAACACCAGTTCTGTTGTATAAATACTGCCTTACTAAAAACACTGATGGTACCATGGACACAAAGCGTCCCATCTGTCATAACTTCAGGGCACATTTTAGGTGTGTGTCCAAAATCTGAAGCCAATCAAAGGAGCCAAGAGTTGAAGCAGTTCTATAAGTTCAGACCAGTGTCATGACGATGCAAATGTTTTAGAACGTACATCCCTGTGGTTTGGACTGGATAGATCATCCTGATGGGTTAGTCTGACCTGAAGGATTTGAACCCTGAACCTCTGAGTGAATGCCACACTATTTGAAGACTGCGTGATCTGAAATGATTGTAGCATTGATCCTGTGGGATGATGTCAGGCCATTTAAAACAATGTGAATACATGAGAGTAAATACTGTATGTTAGCTCATCATGTGCCTGTTTTCACAGTCATCAGTTCATTCACCAAAGACACTCTCAGAACACAGGAATTTAAGAATTTATCCCACAGTTCCACACACGACCCTGCATGCAAGAGCCACAAACAAGACAAAACAACAAACACCAACAGGAATCTGACACAGTACACAGACAAACACTGCAGACTTCTCACTGGTAGGAACAACACAAGCTTTGTTTCCCATAGTCATAGTGACAGAATCGTCTTTAACTGATCACTACAACTGTGCTGGTCGTGTTAGCATTTCACTGCTGTCAGATGAAATCCCAGACCTCCCCTGTTCTTATTGCAGATATGAGTTTACTCCAAAAAATACTCCCACACAAATGGAAGATTTTCCTGGTGGTGATTTTAGGTTCATGCGAGCGGCTTCAAGCTGAGAGTGAAAGACAGCGAGAGTACGAGAGGCTCAGCCTCAGCACAACGACGCCAAACAACAGCAGTGAAAAAATACACTTCTCTTGAAGACGAATGCACCGCTAGCATTAGAGCGTTGACAACGTCGTCTACACCTCCGCTAGTTTCCTCCTACTGACCACACTGCACACTGGGACTTTGTTGTTCGAAACTCTTTGTTCAGGTTTGCAATAGTGACAAAAACTGACCACACGAGGCAGCGTAGACCAGCAGCTGGTGTTCTATATTGTTAACTTTTCCCACTGGGCCTTGGTGTCAAAAAGTAATCTTGTTGGACAAGGTGTTCAACCCAACTAGGATGTCCATGTGGGCCACCTATGGGTTAAGGAGAGCAACTTTCGTCACTTGTGTTTTACCCACATTTGGATCCACAGGATAACCACAAATACATGCTAGCTGGATGATGACTAACTCTTAGCTTGTCATCACTGATTTTTCCGTTGCTACGACTCAATGCTAAAAGGCAGGGCTAGCCACAGAAGAAAGTGACCCAGAAAGGCCTGAAGAAGTAAACAGAGAAGGCAGAGTCGCTTCAGAAAAGTCAGAGAAAAAGGCAACAGAAACGCACAGAGAAAGGAATGTTTCAGGCATAAGAAGGAATTAGCTTCAGGCTAGCTAGAACCGTTTGGAAACACGTACCGACACACATACCGTACATGCACGTACACATACACCAGTAGTCTCCAAAGTCTGATCTTCATGGCTGCCAACCATCACCCACTCTTCTCCTGCCTCATCTCCAACCCCCACCTCCTCTTTTGTTTCAGTCCATGTTGTCATAGAAGAAATGCACAGAAGCACAGGAGACGTAGAAGAAGAAACGACGTAGAAGAAGGGGTGGGGTTTGTCGGTTATGCCAACACAGGCTGTGTTCCAGTCGGGCCCTAATGAGGTAAGGGAACCAGGATTTCCACGTAGTTGATGGGGAAGAAGCCAGACTGGCCGTGGATCATGCCCTCGTACCAGTTGTCATCGATCTGATTGGTCAAAGTGACAACATCGCCCTCTTTGAAGCCCAGCTCGCCTTCGTTCTCTGGCTCAAAGTCGTAGAGCGCTCGGCAGCAGGGCTGGTCCATGGGAGCTGAAAGAAGGAAAAGTTAAAACTGATGAAACGTTGAAGGGCCAGAAGTGGGCCCCGGACCAGTGGTTTGGAACCGCTGGATTAAAGTACAATATTGTAAAAGATGTATTTTTAAAATGTGAAACGAAAAAAGGTTTTATAAAATGTAATGAATGTGGATTTCTCATGAACTGCTTTCCCTTTGAAAAGTAATCTTCTTTTGTCAAACAATTTAATGCCAAAAACATTCAAACAAATGACCGCAAATAAAGTGGTGACCCAACTGTAACAAAAAACAAGTTTTTGGTTTGTAAGTAAGTCTATCTTTACTGGTTTGAATCTGAGTGTAAAAGTCAGGCTGTCAGGTTTAATCCTCAAGTTGAAAATCCATGCAGCCGTTTAACTATAAAGTAAACATTTTCCCAGTTCTCTGTTCCCAGAAGATTCATGCTGTTTTCATTCTTTACCTGGATGACTAATACTTGATCTGTGTTTTTTTCTCCACACAGATTTCCACCTGATCACTCACTCAGGTGAGCTCTGCTCCCATTGGCTGTCAGTGACCTCAACAAGTACCTGGTGATCGTCCGGGAGACTTGGTAGAGTGTATGCCCCCGTTTTGGCTCTCAGTAGGGGGCAGCAGCTCCAGGGTCGTTCTGGGTTTAGGCGTGTACTCCTTCCTGGGCTTACTGGATGCTTCTTTTATCCTGGTGGAGTTGGCAACAGAGGCAGTGAAGCAGAAGAACAAAGAGAAAAGCATCTGTGATGCCAATCAAACTGCATGAAGTGTTTGGGTGTGTTCATCAGCACCTGTCCTCCATCTTGCTGGAGAGCTGCTGGAGGATGTCGGCGGATCGTCGGTGGTACTCCAGCTGAGCCTGGACCAGTGCTGCTAACTGGCTGACCTGCTCTATCTGAAACACATGCATGTGGTCTGGTTTAATGGTTCCAGGACTCGGGGGGGGGAAACACATGAAATAGAAAAGTGTCCAGGTGATGGTGGTCAGTGGTGAAGAACTCACATCACTCTCCAGCAGGTTGAACATGCTCTGCTCTGCCACCTCTTTGCTCTCGTCAAACTTCTCCAGCGCCTGTTTGATCTCCTCCTCCTGGACTTTTCCCTGACGTTTCTTCTTGTAGTCAAAGTCCAGACGCCGGCCTTCCATCTTCTTCAGGTGGTGCTGTCGCAGAGGATGACAATTCAGTAGAGGAATGTAAGCAGGCCTGGAGAACCGACGTGTGGCCGTGTCGGGATCAGACGCTGTGGAGGCTCGACTCACCTGTATCTCTTTGAGGTCTTTGTCGTGGAGGTTCTGGAGTGGATCAATGAAGTTCTGTTTGACCTCCATGTCCAGGGCGTCTTTAACCTCGCCGAGCTCCTTCATCGCCTCGGACGCATCCACCAGAGCGAGGCCTAGAACGCAAAGATGATGGAAAAAAGAAAATGAGAGTTGTGGACAAGTGGGACAAGGAGGAAACAGGAAGTGAGAGCTGATGATCCAAACTAGAACTGTCTGCAGATGTTTTACCAAAGCTGGACTCCTCTCCTAACTCTCGTCCAAACCTCAACATGGCTTCACCCAGGACGGACTCGGCCTGCGGGTACCCAGGTCCCTTCTCCTGTCCACGGATCTTTGACATTGTGTTGATCATGCTTAGCTTAGCTCTAGAAGCTTCAGAGAACCAACGGTTAGAACATTTGTAGCCATTTGATATACCAACATGTGGGGTTTATACCAACCTGGATTAGGCTGCAGGTATTCTGTGGTTCTGGTCATGATTTCCAGCACCGCCCTGCTGGTGACCTCCACCTTCTGCAGAGACAAAGTCACAGCAGCCGCCATTGAATGCTGTCTCAATTACACTACAACTGCTGGCTTCGATTTTTCTTCGTTAAAAGTCATAACAATAACTAAGCTAACAGGCTAAGTTAGCAGCAATGAGAGAAACAAAAAATGTAGCGAAAGATGCAATCAGGAACAAAGCTGGGCTGATATTAGACTGGCTAGGAGACACACACACACACACACATGTTATACAAGAAAGAAGGTAATATATGAATATAAACTGCAGTTCTTGGAATTCAACTGAAATACAGTGTATTGTTTTTACCTTTTCCATTTCTTTGAAGTCATCGTCTAACTTGGTTCCTTCTGCACCTCCGACCTTCTCACTGACTTTCTGCGTTAAAACACAGACAGACCTTTGAATTTATTTTACCTCACATTGTGTTTCTTTATCATTGACATGTTTTTATCTAACAAATAGCTCAGATATAGCTAATTTAGCTATTGTTGTCTAACTGTTAGCTATTCTGGCCATGGTGTCTAGTGTTTCCAGGTTTGTCATAGTTATGGTTCCAGTAACTTCTGAGTCAAAGTATTTTCATGTTTACCTTTTTTTTTTTCACTTTTATTGTATTTATATTGCAGTACTGTTTCTGTTCTGTGCAGGTTCCTCTAGCTTTTAGATATTTGTTCTTCTTACAAAAATGTGACAAACTTGTAGCTTGGTGGGCTATTAGCTGCTGCTGTTTTTGTTCTGCATTATTGCCCTGGAAGCATTATCAGCTAATTGGAGGCTGTTTCTGTGTTTCTCTTTCAATATGTTTTGGCTAATGTGTAGCTAACGTGGGTAGCTAATGTGTGTATGAGCTAACTTTGTGTAAAAGTTGTAGCTAAAATGTCACAATGTTAATATTTAATTTCCCTTGACTTCATATTGTTTCTCTGCTAATGTTAGATATGTTGAAGTGATTGTTAGCTGAACACAGCTGTGTTCGTTCCTAAATTAGTTTTTACTGTCTTTATTTAAATACTGTAGTTTATTTAATGATTTTTCAAAAAGTCGTTTTTTTTTATAACAAGACCAAACTTGTACATGACGAGTTATTCTGGAACTGTTGAGGATTGAACAACCACCAGGTGGTGCACTACAGATTGACTTTGTAATGACCAAGAATAAAACTCATATCTAAGTGTTTACACTTCACGTTTTCTGTCTTGTCCACTGATCTGGCTGTGTTTGATTTCAACACGCTTAGCAGAGAAAGAAGAGAATGGCTGACAGCTGAGGAGGAGGATGCAGTTACCATGGAGACAAGGATCTGCCTCAGGCCTCTCATGTTTCTCACACACACACACACGCGTTTGAGCAGCGTGTGTTTCTTGTCTTTCTGAATTTCCTTTAATAAGTTTGAGGTTCTACAATAAACCTGATCTGTAACATTGACCTAAACAGGAAACAGGAAGGAGGCAAAGGAGGAAAAGGCTCAAGACAAGAGCAGTACAAAGAGTAAGCAGTAGAAGAAGACAAAAGAGGAGGAGCAAGACGAGTGACTGCGGGAGGAAAGGAAGAAAAGGAGGGTTTAACAGAGGAGGACAACAGAAATAACTAGAGGAGTGGGAAGAAAAGAAGAAGAAGAAGAGGAAGAAGTAGCAGGGTTGAAAAATAGGACTGTGGAGAAAGAGCATCAAATGTAGAAGGAACTAAAGAAGGAGGAAAACACAGAAGCTGAGGAGGACGGGAGGGTGAAGAGGAGAAGGAAACGACTATGGTGTCATCTACTCAGCAAGGAAACAGAAACATGTCTGATAATTGGTCAGAGTCTGATCACATGATCCTGACCAGGAAGTACAGCAGCAGGCGCTGAGGCCAGGGAGCAGTCATGTGACCTGGGAGGACAGCGATGTGGTGGGAGAAGATGAGAGGAGGCAGGGAGGAACGAAAACATGGAGAGGGAAGCAAAGGAAGGAAGAATCTGTCAGGAGAGGAAGGAAGGAAGGAAGGAAGGAAGGAAGGAAGGCTTTGGAAAGCCACTAAGAGGGAATAAGAAAGGTTAAAGAAAACAAGGATGTTGACAGGAGAAACATGAGGACAAGGTGGTAAAGAAGGAAGAGCTGATGGATCTGGAAAGAGATGAGAAGACTACGAAGAAAGGATTCAATATGAAGGAAAGAATAAATGAAGGAATATCAGGATAAAGTGGAAGAGAAAATGACTGGGAGAGAAGGAATGTTGAAGGACGTGAAAAATGAAGGGAGGAGGAAAGTTAAGACAGTGAAGGGGTGATGGTGGAGGGAATCCCTGTCTGCAGCAGCCAATCAGGTGCACACGTAAACACACACGTTTGAGATGTGATATTACATAACAATGTGTGTGATCAAATATAAACACATCCGTAACCGGAAGTGAAAAGATTAAAAAAAAACTAGGTTTATTAGTGTTTAATGGTTGTGTGTTTACTTCACTGCTGCTCCGTCCGTTCATTACTGATTCAGTGGCTATGTTTAATTCAACACACACACTCACTTACCTGCGTGGCTTTGTGAAACTGCTTCTTCAGCCCCGCCACTGACATCACTGCACTTCCGCTCAGCAGAATAACAAAAACAAAAACTAGAAAACACGATTTCAACACACACACTTGTGTCTGTCTGTCTGTGTCTGTCTGTGTGTGTGTGTGTTTGTGCGGGAGCTCGTGCTGTGCGGGTAAAAATTCTGCAGGTCAACGTCGAGGATGTGCGTGTGTGATAATGTGGAGCGAGAGAGCGAGGGAGGGAGAGAGAGAGAGAGAGAGAGAGGGTGAGAGAGATCGTCTATTCAAGCGATGCATCTCAGACGACACAGCGAGAAGTCATAAAAGATACAATCACAAATAAACACTAGAGGGCGATGAAAGAAGCGTCATCAGATTAGAACGTGAAGGCATGAAGGCTGTTGTAGTGTGAAATAGTCGAAGGTAAAAAATGGAACTTTATCCAATGTGAGATAAAGTTCAATTTTTAACCTCCTGAGATTAAGTTCCACTTTATCTCGTTCTAATGTGAGATAATCTCACATTGGGGAACATTACCTCAGCGACACAAAGGAGAACAACAGATTAAATGATTTTAAAAAAAAGCACAGAAAAGACAAAGATCACAGTGGACTGTGAGCTGTAGAGGAGTAAGGACGGATGTTGTCCAAAGGAAACAGGAATTCTGATGGAGCAAAGAAATGAAGAAAGGATAACAATCTCGACCGAAAAGAAAAACAGACTTTATCCAACATAAATGTGTCAGCCGTAAAATATGGCAAACAGGGGATGACGTCATCAATCTAAAAATGCCATTTCCGTTATTTTTTAAATGTGTATATTGTTGGTTTTATTTTTTTTTTTTTCTATTTTTTTAAGTGCCGGTGACTTAAACAAATACGTGGAGCTCCTGTTTAACACGGACGATCTACGGTGACCCTTGACGTCACAGCACCGCCTACTCACGAGTTTCCCCGCATCTGGAGAAGGAGACGTTCGTCTGACAAACATAATCATATCGAGAAGACTGATTAAAAACAATCACGAAACAAACAGCGGTAACAGCAGTCATTGCAGAGTGAGTTGTCGGGGCAGTGGCCGCTTCAGCACCGCGGACAGCTCAGCAGACGCTGCGTTCAAAGACAGCGGAGAAATCGGATCTTTCATGACCATGCTCCCTGTGAACGTAAAGGAAAAAAAAACCCAAAACAACCAAGATTTAAATTGTTTTGTAATTTTTATTCTTTGTGTGAAAACTGTTACCTGAGAATTCTGAAATTGTTTTTTGAAAAGGAAAGACAGTGTGAGTGAAGGTCGAAGGGCTCCGTTAGGCAACTGGACGCGAAATGTTTTCTCGAGGACGTTTGGCCTCTCATCAAATGTGTGTGTGTTTGTGCGGGAGCTCGTGCTGTGCGGGTAAAAATTCTGCAGGTCAACGTCGAGGATGTGCGTGTGTGATAATGTGGAGCGAGAGAGCGAGGGAGGGAGAGAGGGAGAGAGAGAGAGAGAGAGGGTGAGAGAGATCGTCTATTCAAGCGATGCATCTCAGACGACACAGCGAGAAGTCATAAAAGATACAATCACAAACACTAGAGGGCGATGAAAGAAGCGTCATCAGATTAGAACGTGAAGGCATGAAGGCTGTTGTAGTGTGAAATAGTCGAAGGTAAAAAATGGAACTTTATCCAATGTGAGATAAAGTTCAATTTTTAACCTCCTGAGATTAAGTTCCACTTTATCTCGTTCTAATGTGAGATAATCTCACATTGGGGAACATTACCTCAGCGACACAAAGGAGAACAACAGATTAAATGATTTTAAAAAAAAGCACAGAAAAGACAAAGATCACAGTGGACTGTGAGCTGTAGAGGAGTAAGGACGGATGTTGTCCAAAGGAAACAGGAATTCTGATGGAGCAAAGAAATGAAGAAAGGATAACAATCTCGACCGAAAAGAAAAACAGACTTTATCCAACATAAATGTGTCAGCCGTAAAATATGGCAAACAGGGGATGACGTCATCAATCTAAAAATGCCATTTCCGTTATTTTTTAAATGTGTTATATTGTTGGTTTTATTTATTTTCTTTCTATTTTTTTAAGTGCCGGTGACTTAAACAAATACGTGGAGCTCCTGTTTAACACGGACGATCTACGGTGACCCTTGACGTCACAGCACCGCCTACTCACGAGTTTCCCCGCATCTGGAGAAGGAGACGTTCGTCTGACAAACATAATCATATCGAGAAGACTGATTAAAAACAATCACGAAACAAACAGCGATAACAGCAGTCATTGCAGAGTGAGTTGTCGGGGCAGTGGCCGCTTCAGCACCGCGGACAGCTCAGCAGACGCTGCGTTCAAAGACAGCGGAGAAATCGGATCTTTCATGACCATGCTCCCTGTGAACGTAAAGGAAAAAAAAAAACCCAAAACAACCAAGATCTAAATTGTTTTGTAATTTTTATTCTTTGTGTGAAAACTGTTACCTGAGAATTCTGAAATTGTTTTTTGAAAAGGAAAGACAGTGTGAGTGAAGGTCGAAGGGCTCCGTTAGGCAACTGGACGCGAAATGTTTTCTCGAGGACGTTTGGCCTCTCATCAAAGAGCCTTCTTCAGTTCTAACTGATGGTGGGGAGTACAGGAATTATATGCTGTGGGTGTGACTAAAGATAAAAGGTGCTTCAGGTTGGGTGGGCCGCTGGGGTCATGTGGGGAAGGGAACTTCATGTCCAGTTGCCCAACAGAACCCTTCAACCTCGACCTTGATCTGGATGACTGAGAATCTTCATAGATATGGTGAGTGATTGTGTAGTGAGCACCGACTGTTTACCAGTCTTGATTTAGTCTAAAATGGTGACTTTTCCTTAAACTGATAAAATACATATAATCTGCCGAGGTCACTGTAAATCTCTATGTCTGTCCCGCAGTACATCATTTAAAAATAAATATATTTTCATTAAATAAAGTCAGTAGTTGACTCATTAATTTGCAACCAGCCACCAGGGGGTGCAAAGGCATTATAGATTCTATAAATCGGGGTCACCAACGTGGTGCACGGGGTCACCTAGAACCCCCTATGGACGACCTTCTAAAAATAAAACTAGTCAACCAGAGGGTTAACAACTGTACTGTTACTGTGCTTTTTGGATCAGTTACACCTGCAGTGATAGTCAAGTTGGTATGATGTGCTTGTTTGATACAAGTCTGTATCAAACAAGTAGCTCTTCATATTCCTAAGTACCCTTGAAGTAGCGCTCAGTTTCATAAAGGTTGCTGACCCCTGTAGATTCTCCATGGTTATAGCGTGGTTGTTAAGAGTTTTGCCTGAAGATTTTGCCTAAAGTTCATCAAAGTCCATCTATTTTTGAAAGGCGTCTGTTGTTTGTCCTCATCAGTCCATCCTCGTCCAAAGTTCCAGGTAAGGAGTCACATTTTCAATCACCATGTGACTCGTTAGAGTCCACTGTCTTTTGCTTGAGCGATGGCATCTACTCAGTGAGGGCTCTGCTTTGGTCGACATCCAAATGATTTGGTTCACCTTTAGTTGCCTCTTTTTTTCGCCATTGTTGCACAACAATAAATATGGCAACTGAGACAGAAAGCAACACTACAAAAGTGGCAGACAGAATCCAGGTAATGGGATTTTTATGATCATCTGAAGGGTGAAAGAAACACAATTCCAAAGACTTTAAATAAAAACAAATACAAACAAAACTTTTGGTTGTACTTCAATATTTAAAAAAAGAACAAAAACTTACCATTATTGTTGTTGATGTCTCCAGAATCTGGAGTGTGAAAGTTTCTGGGTACCAGCGATGGAGCCGTCGTCCAAGTTGTAGGAGAAGCAGGAACTGAAAGTTTTTAGTTTTTCATTTAATAAATTATGATCAACTTTATCTTTTTTTTTTTTTACAGATTTCTATGCATCTACGAGCCAAGCTTTACACACATTGTTGCTTCTTCTACAATGTTTTCAGTTAAGGTAAGTTTGAATATTATATTTAGCCATAAAATATTTCTTATTAAATTTAGACACTTTTGCTTTTTACACATTATTACTGAAAAAGAAATATTTGTTTCATTTACCAAATTTTCCAAAGCATTCTGTAATTCCCCAGCCTGGGATTAATAAGGTATAACAACCAGGGTATATTTTGGAGAATTTTAAACTTTTCCATTTTGGCTTGGAATTAAAAACAAACTTTTCTTACCAACAACGAGCTGGATGATTACATGGCTTCTCAGGCTGGGTACAAAGCATCGGTACATTCCACGATCTGTGTACGTCACGTTTCTGATGCTAAGTGACAAGTTCCCGCGTGTAAGTTCGGCCTCGAAAGCAGACGCTCTGTCGTTGTACGACGCCAGCTTCATGTCCGTGAGCTCCGCGCCGCCACGGCGGAGATACACATAATAGACCCGGCGCAGAGGGTCCGAGGGGTCCGGCTCGACGTCCAACCGCGACCATTCAAATGTTAGCAACCGCGCGTCACGCCCAGAACTCAGAAGACAGGGGAGGACAACGTCATCACCCAGTGAGGCTGTGATTGGCTGAGCTGAGCCCGTCAGGAACTGATCGCCTGGAAAAAAAAACCCAACATGAGTCAGAAGCTTTTTGTTAATTATTTTTTTATTTATAGCTTTTTATAGTCTTCACATCAGAAAAACATATTAGGGCTTTAAAAACACGCTGGAGGATAAATAATTCGGCTTACGTCACTTAAGAAAACACGCAAACCGACATTTGGATGAAAACCTGATCTACAACAGGCGAACCTGCCTATACCCTATAGGACCTCGTTGTTTGAACTTGTGTTCGCCTTTAAATTTAACTGTTAAAGTCAGACCGTGACTCAGTTACGGCTTGTTTATTCTTTTTAAACTTTTAAGGCTCGACACAGTGTTTACACACTGACGTCGCCGCTGCTCGTGTGATTTTAAATCACACGCTGACGAGAACTGTAGTCGACAACATCAGTTAGACGGAAAAACAGAAAGGTTAACGGCTAAATATTCACCGAAGAAGCGACTCACTCACCATCTGATGCGGGGAGAATCGAGGCAGAGTCCGCAGCGACGGCAAAAACGGCGAGCCAGAAGGAAACACTAAACGTCATAACGTACACAACCAGGACGTTGCGCGAGTGTGTCATACGCAGCGTGGGGCACGGTTTTATCAGCGTATTGACGTCATCCCCATGACGAATCACTCACATGATTCGTCAATCGGATTATTTACTGCAATATCCATAGAAACGTTCCATAGCATGATGTTTCTGAAGGCTTTAGAGCTGATTTCTTTAAACCTGGTAACACAAGAAAAACTGAGGGTGAGAATGAATGAATAGAACAGAATACTCTGTATAATTTAATAATAATTCATGATAAGTATATTAAAAAAATAACTTTTGATAATCTATAGCTTTGCTGGCCTTGACGGTGAGCTACTGGCCTATATATACCAAATGGGGGCCACTAAAGGTAGCATAATTGAAGTGGGTCAAGTGGAAATAAGTGCAATGAGGTAATGTGCCTTTCGTCGGTCCTCAGGTGTTTCATTATTTCTCTTTGACAGATACTTGTGGATATTCTCGGTCATCCAGGTCTTCATAATAATCTCCAAAGCAGTTTTAAAAATAGGCAATTGGACTCACCCCAAGTTATTTGAAGACGTTGGCCACTTTACTGGACACCACACCCACCTTTGGGGTGGATATATAAATACCTGCAACACCCCACCAGGACAGTAGAACTGATGAAGCTTCTTGGATGAGAAGCGAAACGTCTTCAGTTTACTTGGTGGTGAGTCCAGTTGCCTGTTTTTAAAACTGCTTTAGAGATCATCTGTGACGGATCAATAAAAACAAAATAACACTGTTTCTTTGAAGAAGAAGGAAAAAGACAGGAAACCAGAGGCACACATTTATCACACATTGCTTCCTGCTAACTAGCAGCCCATCACAGCTTCAGACCTTGAGACAGATTCTTGGCAGGAAACTGTCTGTGACACTCACAACATCTGCAGTCATGGACGCAGCAGCATTATGCTCAGTGGCAGGTGAGAAACAAACTCAACATTTAGGATAAACCTATTACGACTGTTCACTGGTGTGTCACTGTTGCAGTGTGTCTGCTCATTGAACACTCAATCTGTCAAATCTGTCACGGCTCAGCACAAAGACTTAGTGGTCAAACTGGTCAAAGCTGTTGGAGACACAGAGACTGTTCTGAACTGGTTTTAGTCCGTTGTCAACATTAGACTCCTGCAGAAACTGTCTGAGAACATTCTGACTGACCCCAGTGTTGTGTTCTAGGGATTCATGGAGGCTGAATATGTTCACATATTCATCAGCACCCTTAGCTGTGTCCCCTGAGTCCACAGAGAAAAGTCTGATTTTTTTTATTTTTTCTTGCAGCCTTGCTCACGGTTGTTCCCAACCAATCCCAGTTCTTCCAACACGAGTCAGTGACTCTGAAGTGTCAGCCTCTGGGAAACCTCCTGGATTGGAAAGTGATGAGGAACACGTCCAAACATACCAACAAAGAGTGTCTCAGCTCAGGCAACAGCACCGACAAATCCAGCTGCTTCCTGGATTACCTCATCCCGTCAGACTCTGGGGTTTATTGGTGTGAGTCCGGACCAGGGTTCTACAGCAACACCATCAACATCTCTGTCACAGGTAAGACAAATACATCAGAGGAGGAAGGGGCACAAATCTGTATCTGTAAAGTACCTGCGATGGCTTCGTCAGGTGGTCATGTGATCGTGGAAGTTCCAGTCTTTCCTGTGGTTGAGGGAGCCAACGTGACTTTGTTCTGCAAAGGCAGAGATTCCCCCTCGCTCTACTCCTCCAACAGCCTGACGGGGACTTTCTACAAGGACGGGGCTCTGGTGGAGAGCAGCTCGGCAGGAATTTTGACCATCCACAATGTCTCCAAGTCAGACGAAGGACATTACAGTTGTGCCTCAGGAAAGGACACGTCTCCTGAAAGCTGGCTCACTGTCACAGGTTGGTTTATTTTCCAAAATTTCCAAATTTCTGACCCTTCAACAGAAGGGTCAGAAATTAGTGAAGACTTGAGTTGTTTTAAATTTCCTCTAAATCTCGTTATTTGTCCTTGAGAATATCAAGACAGGGTTTTGATTTTGATAAAATATTCTAATAAGCTTTCATATCACACAACTCTCATGCTATTTTGACATGTTAAAGATTTTATTTTATTAGGTTGGGAAATGTGCACATACAGAAGTCCATAGAAAAAATCACCAGTGTTAAATGATAGAACACAGCAGTTGTCAACGATGACCGTCACCGAGTTTAAATGTTTTAAAAAATGCATCTTCAAACTTTCTTTACCAACACAAAGTGACCACAGGAGGGAGCACCGTAGCAGCAGGAAAGTGTGGCCTCGACCACTGTATGGAGCTGTGTTTGTTGTCAGGTCAGTGTGTGGGTGTCTGTGATGAGAAAAGAAATCTTCAAAGACCTCAAACCTGTCTCCTGTGCATCCTGCTGCCTGTCGTGGTCGTGTTACCGACCTCAACGTTGTTGATGCTGTTCTGCTTCCACAGACGCCGAAAAGGTCAGTTTGTTTCCGTGTACATATCACTTCCTGTCATAGGCCAATAAAAGTAAAATGAAATGTTATGGCTATGGATAGATAAATGTTATACATAAACAGAACCATAAACAAAATATATTATTATGAATTTTAGGAGATGTTTAGTTTGCTTTTCAAAGGTTGCCCAGAAAAGGAAATTTGACCAAACCAAAACTCAGGGTTACCAAAGAAAAACATTAAGAGTTACCCAAAAACAGCCATCTTGTAGCCTAACAATTACTGAATGTTAATTATACAATGAACACCTGAAACCCAGCTTTAAAATAAATACAAATACAGTCATTGAAAAGATAAATTAAAACCATACTGAGTGTTAGAAAATAAGTAACTGCAAGTTGAGGTTAAAATAAAAAAAATAATCTGCTCAATCTGCTCTACAGATGCTCTGAGAGAGCCATAAATTACCAGGACAATTACTGCATTTCTTGTTGACAGAGCTAATAATATGCTAACATTAATGCAAATGTTTTCCTGTGTGTTACAGTGAAAAAAGCTGATGTTTTGTACACAGACATCATCATCACCCCGGTTGTCCAGCGTAAGCAGCCAAGCAGCGGTAAAGATTCCTAGATTCCGTGGGACCGTTGCTAACTGCTAACTGCTTACACTGTTGTTTATTCTTTGGGCACTGTTCAGCATTGCATTTTGCTGTTCTCAATGTACGTATGTTTGTGTACAGACTGTCAAAACCGTTTATAACGAATCGGGACATTTCACCAAAGTATACCAGTATTGTTCAAAGCTAGCCACAGTAGGTTGTGGATAGCTTCAAGTGTTGACATAGAGTAGCCCACGTTTAGCTAAATGTTAGTTAAAACCCGCTGAGAATTAGTCAAACAAAACCAAAACGTATCCGTTAAGCTTTGGATAATTAAGAATTATCCAAAGTTTTAGCAATATATTAAACAACATTAGCTCGTAGTAACTTGAATGTAGCCTAAAAAGGTACTGAGCAAACATTCTTAAGGATAAGCTAATATTATATTAGCCACATTTATAGATGGAAAACCAACAGACGGTGGTGCTGAGAGGTGATAATCTGACACGCGCACACACGAAAAGAATCTGCGTTTACTTTCTATTTACATCAGGCCGTAACTGTTCAGAAGGTTGGTTTAGTTTCATACATGCTAATACTTTAATGGCTCTGCTCAGTGGGTCTGACGTGTCCTCGTCTTTTAAATGTTTGAAGTTCACAGTGTTGATATTGAACCTGATGTTTGATGATGATGATGATGATGATGATGATGATGATGATGATGATGATGACGTTAACACGACTTATCTGCGCTCTAGATGTGGATGGGGTTTTCACTGTCTACTCAACACTCAAGCCAGAGCTTCAGAACATGAGGCAGGGGCTGCAGCCCAGAGCCTAAACCTGGTCCTGGTCCCCGTGCTAGTCCTGGTCCTGGTCCTGGTCCTGGTCCTGGTCCTGGTCCCCGTGCTAGTCCTGGTCCTGGTCTCCTTCGTTCCTTATTCCTACCTGTTTATTCTCTTAATTTCTCTGAGGATGTTTTGTTTCTTGTTTTCTTTTTTTTTTTTTATGTGTTTAAAGTCTTTGTTCATCAGGAGTTCTAAGAATTGTTACAGCATTTCAACTTCAGTAGGTGGCAGTAAAGTGAACACCTGTGAGTCTTAGGTGTGTATTTGTGTCATTTGCCTGTCTAATGTAATAAACATTCACATGATTTCGGGTTATGTTTGTTCCTTCCCTAACAACAATCCATTTATCGTACGTCACGCGCTGTGACGTCAGCTCAAATAATCTCTTAAGGTTTAGGCGCGACATCTCATGGTCAGTTACTGGTATTGCATTTACTCTCACACCTGTATAGTATGTGAGGCAATGGGGAAGAGATACAAACGCGTGACTGACGCTGTAAGAAGAAGTGCGTGTTCATACGGACCCTTAGCAATACATATATATTACGGCTATTTCTTGAATATATTGGCTAATTAATAGCTAATTTCTGGGTGGATTTTTCCTAAATGTTCGTGGCAAATCGAAGCTTTTTTTTATTGAGAATTTTTTATTTCGATACAATCTCCAGATGTTTTGGTTAATTGTTAACGATTATCTACGCTAACGTGTACAGTTTGTCTGACTGGTCTAAACTTTAACTGCTTTTCAATCCATATTGCCATTGCAGAAACACAAATGCAGAACTGGTTGCACTGTGGCTTGGCCGCAGATGAAACTCCACTGTAAGATTTGTTCACAGCTTTTTTTTTAAAGTTTCCTCTTCCTTTTCTCTGTTTCAACTGAGAAACAAACCACTGACACAGTTCTGCTAAACAACCACAGAAAAATCACTTTCGTCAGAGAAGAGTTGGAAGAGGCCAGAGAACCAGGAGGGACAATAGTTTCACAACAGCACTGCTATGAGACTACTTCCATGATGACATCATCACTGAGCGTTCGCTCTGGAAGATTCCTAGCTGCTGTGTGAACAAACAAACACAAACAAACAACCATCAGTAAAAAGTGATGTTAGAAACACTGGTCTTATTTCAGTCTGTCTAACTTTTAGCAAGTCTTGCTTAATGTAAACCCGTGGGTTTTTTTAATCTACTGCTATGTCTACGTTAACTGTTAGTACACCTTTCTGGGTCTTTCATTTTTCACGTTTTCAGATCTCTGGTGTGTTTTGGATCATTTTCAGATAATCTAGAGGATTTTGTGTCATTTTTGTCTAGTTAGTAACTTAATACATTTTCTTTGGTGAATTTTCTGAAAATCTAATTTTCTATGTCCTGGGTAATTATTAGGTTTATCCCAGCTTTATCTGGTTGTTTGTTTCGTTGCTATTATTTCTATATTTCTGTGATACTATTTTTTATTGTTTATCATCATTCCTTAAACTATTTAATCTATCTTATTTTATAATATATATAAATTATATATAAATATATAAATATAATAAATATTAAATATAAATATAAATATAATATATAAATATATATATTATTTTATATTTTATTTTATATTTTATCTATCTATCTATCTATCTATCTATCTATCTGTCTGTCTGTCTGTCTGTCTGTCTGTCTGTCTGTCTGTCTGTCTGTCTGTCTGTCTGTCTGTCTGTCTATCTGTCTGTCTGTCTGTCTGTCTACACTGCTCATTACCTGTCTATCTGTCTGTCTACCTACCTACACTGCTCATTATGTAGGTAGGTAGGTATCCCTACCTACCTACCTACCTCCCCATCCATCCACCCACCCACCGATTTCAACTGTTTTGAATGCAATACAATACGAGTTCAGAAATGGTCACGTATTTAACCTCCTCATTACTAAGACTTGTTTTCAGATCAGTGTGTAGCAGGTAGATTAGATGTCTCTAAAACCTGACCTTGATTCCTGTTCCTGTGAACAAGTGTCATGAAGATAGTGGACAGGAGGAAGGGACTTCCCACCAGCAGGTGGCGTATGATTGTAAAAGCAGGTGGTGCACATGAGGATGCTGGACCTTCTGGTGAAGCGAACACATGACCTAGGAAAACCAAAGAAATTACAGAGCAGGTTAGGTGAGAAATTCAGACCATCACCTGAAGACCAGCTCACAATAATCCAGGGTTTAAAAATGACCCTGTCCAAAAAGATATACTCTAAGACCATAAGACCGTAGACAATCTCACAGACCTGGTCCAGATGCAGGCAGCTCACCCTAACCCTGCGTTCATAGTGGTTGGAGACCAAAGACTTGTTCCAAAGACCAGATCTAAATTCATGGAGACCAGATCCCAAACCAAAGACCCGGTTGAACCAGGTTAGTCCGGTGGTGGGTCTTACTTTGGACTTGCAGCAGGCTGTGGAGAGACTGGTCCCCCTGGTGAAGGTGGCACCTGTAGAGACCCTGGTCAGATGTAGAGACGTTGTAGATGGACAGCTCTGCAGTGGAGCTGCTGCTGATCAGATGACCGTCCTTGTAGAAAGAAAACAGACGCTCAGACGACGACGCGGTCCTGGTTCTGCAGCGCAGAGTCACGTTGGATCCTTCAGGGACTGGACCAGGGGGGCTCTCTAAGACCACGGACTTATCTGGTTAAAATACAGTGTGAATGGTTAGCTAAGCTGCTGTGTCTCACGCTGTAGCTAACCTTTAGTTGTAACACGGCCAGCCATTGGATACTGTTGTTATAATTGTTGCAAAGTTAACATTTATTTAACTTTCATCGCCATTTATTAGCCTTTTATTTTCTTCTTCAGCCTTTTCTGCTCCACATTTTGCTAGGTTTTTATATATTTCTGGTATCCTATGTTTTAGCTTCACGTGAGCCTACTTTAATATTGCTAACATTTAACTGAGCCTGGCTAAGTGTTCACGTTTCAAGAAAGTCATACCTGAGATGGTGATGTTGGCCATGAGACTCTGTCTGCCATCATCAGACTCACACCAGTAGAGGCCGCTGTCAGAGGGGTAGGTGTGCCCTATGACACAGGTGGAACTGGAGGACAAAGAAGAGCCCCAGCCCGAGGAGCAGGATGTGACGCTGCCCCCCAAGGTTCTTCTTTTTACCTTCCATACGGTGGCGCTGGAGTCTTTTCCACAGCTAATATTAATGGTGGAGTAACGAAATAACTGAGAGGAGTAAGGAGAGAGATGGAGACACACTGGAGAGAGGAGAAGGAAAAACAGGAAGAAGAGAGGAGAGGACAGAGACGAGGAGGGGGAAAGACAGGGGAGAGAAGAAATGTCGAGGAGGGGGAAAGACAGGGGAGAGAATAAAAAGGGGAAAGGGGGATAGGAGGGTGAGAGGAAGGCAGGAGAGGAGAAGAGAGATCGAAAGAGAATAGGGTGAAGAGTGGGAAGAAGAGAGGTGAGGAGGACAGAGGAGATGTGAGAAAACAGAAGACAGGAGGAGAGATTTTACAGGCGACAAAAGAAGCAAGGAGAGGAGAAGAGGGACAGAGGTGAGGGGAAGGAGAGGAGATACAGCAACAGGAGGAGAAAGGAGGAAGTCAAAATTATGTACCGGAAAGAAAGTGAAAATGGTTTTAAAAATATGAAAACCAAAAACATGTTTGAGAAAAGATATTAAGCAAAAGTCAGTAAAAAAAGGGTTAAAATAAAGAAGAAGAAATAAAAAATCTCACCAAGCGTCAGACACAGAGACGTGAGTTGCATCATGATCAACGCAGGACTGTTGCCTACCTCTGGTCTACTTCCTGTTCAAAGACCAAGTGCAGCACAACCCCACTACACAATTTAAGACCTAGAATTTGTCATCTTTGCTGTAGATGTTATTTCCTCGTCATATTTGTTAGGTTTCTCTTACTTTTAGCTTATTTGGAGTTAACATTTAGCAACTTTGTGGAAAACTTTAACTAGTTCTAAACCTCATTATAGCACTTACAGTACGTTTGATAACTTTATCACTTATTCTTAGCTACTTTTTGGCTAACATTCAGCTATTTCTGGACCCACTTTTGTTTCTTCGGGATTGAACCAGCTATTTATTTTTATTACTTTAAAGCTTGCAGTGTCAACATTTTCTCAGTAGGGGGCGAGCACAGAGTTTAATCGTTTGGGAAATGCACAACCACAAAGCCTGGATAAAAATAAAAAACTAAGAAAATTCAATTTAGACAAATATTTTATTCAAATGTGTGGAAGTAAAAATTCACAGTAGAAAAAATACAAAAAAATAGACAAAAAAAAAAAAAGACTTAAAAACTTGGCAGGCAAGACTGGACTTTCCTCTTCCCTATATCTTCCTCTAGAATCAAACCCAGTATATAATGTTATGGGTTCAGTGGTCATTTCATCTTCAAAATGTTTGGAATTCCTGCTAGAATGAGTGTCGAGCAATTCTAAAAGATGTAGGTGTGCTCCCTGATCTGATCTGTTGGATCATTTTTGTCATGGGCAGTGGTGGCTCACTCCCACTCCCACTGAGGTGCTCTGTCATGGCTCCGTCTCCACTCACTGCTCATTTGGTTGTGTGCAGTGGTGAGCTGTGTCACAGTGACAGGGAGTTCACGTTGATATTTTCAAGTAATGGAATGTGTTTTGAAGTATCCCATTTTCATTTTCCTATCCTTGATACCAACCCCCTCTTACTATTCTCCTCTATACATTTATCAGAACATTTTCTGAAGGTGATGGACGATATTTCAAAGTGTTCCATTCACTGTGCAACAAAAAATAATACCACAACTGTAAGAACCACCAGTTAAATGTAAACATTTACTGTAGAAGTGATTTCGCTTGAACATAATGCTGTCCTGTTAATATATATATATATATATATAAAACCCACTGAACACACATTATTCAAAAACACTTTGGCTAAGTTTCTTACTGACCTTCAGTTTTAATGGCTCATGTTTTGCTGTTATCTCCGTTAACTTAGAAGTTAGCTGGTAAGCATGCAGTACCTAACCCAAAGTCAAACTCCGTACTGTAAAGAGTAATGCTATGCTGCTGTTTTGTTTTTCAAGTGAAAAATTCTAGCTACTTAAGTTAGCGTTACTGATTTGCTAGTGTATCTCGTTAGGTCATTGTTGTTACCTTTTGACTGTCAGCAAGCCGTTTTTGGCACAAAAATATTGTGCTACTTTAGTTAGCCTTTAGCCCTTTTACAACACTCTTAGTAATCTATTTTGTTTCTTATTCCAAGCTTATTCTCAGCCTCTTAGATCCTTTAATTAGCTCTCCTGTCTTTTAACCTTTAATCATCTGGTGACTAATTTGGTTTAGTTTAGTATTTTGAAGAGTATTAGTATTTTTTTTTTTTTTTTTTTGCCCCACAGCTTGACCAAAGTGAATGTTTCAAATAAAGTGCTAATATTTTAATGCCCCCTAGTGGCTATGGGACAAAACGGTTTAGCTTAGATTAGATTGAAATCTGTGAATTCCACACTGGAGAAATAATTAAAAGTTTAGGTGAGAGGCAACAGGGGCTTCCCCTCATCCTGCTCCGCCAGGACATCGAAGCGATTGGCAGTCAGGATCAGCGAGGGTCTGATATGGGTAAAGTTGCTGAAGCTCTTGGAACGGACAACTCCAGTTGGTTTTGGATCTGCATTTCCACACGGACGTGAAGAAGCTAAAACTTCTTGGGAGCTCTTGTGATCCTTAGGCTTGGTTTGGATTGATCCCTGGGATGAAATGCTCTGGCTTCTCTGGCTTCTCCTGACTGTTGGAGGCTTTCCTACAGGTTTTGGAAAATTGTTGGAACTGGACTTTGGAGAACTGCTGTGGGCTACACTAATCGGCTTGTCATGCTGAGGAATAATGACTGGAAGTGTGTTACAGTTGTCCTGACGCTGTGCTTCCAGTTCAGTGATCTTCTTTCTATGTTCCTCCTCAGCCTGCTCCAGTTGTTTTTGCTTGGTTTCGAGCTGAGCCGTGAGTGAGGAGACTTGTTCCTTCAGCTGATTGATCTCACACTGGGGATCAGGTGAGGAGGAGGAGGTGTCAGCAGTCTGCTGTTTTAGTGCTTCTGGGTTAAGACAAGAACGACCTGGAGCAGCAGCAGGAGGAGGAGCAGAAAGAAAAGAAGGGGAGAAGGGAAGAAAAGGAAAAGTGGGAGGGGGGAGTACAAATAGGTGGAGGAGAAAAGGGAAGATAGTGAGCAGGTGGAAGAGAAGAGGAGGAGTAAGAAGGAAGAACGTGGACAGGAGCAGAAGGAGGAAAAGGAAGAGGAGAAAACTCTTTAAATAAATACAAAGAAAACTCTACTGTAGCTTCAGCCTGACTGTAGCTGAGTGAATGTGTCCTGTCTTACCTGGTCTGCACCATAATATGGCACAGATCTGAATGTGTCCTGTCTTACCTGGTCTGCCCCATAATATGGCACAGATCACCGGGATGATGATGATGATGGCTATGACCCCCACAACAACACAAATGGTGTCAGAGCATTGGGTCAGACAGGAAGCTGAAAAATGACAACAAAACAGCTAAATGTGGCTACTTCAAGGCTGTTTTAACTTCTTTGTTATTTTATGGCTAACATTTGTCCATCCATCCATCCATCATTCTATCCATCCATCCACCATCCATCTAGACTTCCTGGTGAACATGTCTAACTCTTAGCTGTTGTTAGTGTTAAGCAATTTCTTTGCCAGTAATAAAACAACTTTGTGGGTACCTTAAAGCCTGAACTTTTTTCTTCAGCATATTGTACTTCATGTACTGCGGTAGTAAAAATGCAGGTGTAGTAATACCTGGTATGAAGACTTCTTTATCCGTGTACGTGTCGCTCTCTGGCTGCTGAACTCTGCAGGTGACCCTGAGGCTGAGAGACAACAAGGACAAGAGTCTTTTGAGTTCATGTGGAAAATGTAAAGAACCTCTGTGAGGAGTTTATTTAGTTAAAGGCATTCAAACATGTGCTCCACAGGCCCCATGTGGCCCACACACAACCAGAGAGGGGTCCAGTCTATGGTTACTGAAGAAACTGACGGAAGATTTTGCCAATTTTGCCACAACATGTACAGCTAAATTTGCTATGTCCTCAAAACATGGTTTCAGATATTGATGTGTGTGCAGTTTTGTTTGTAGTAATTTCCCTTCATTTCCTAGTTCACCTGAGGACTCTGACCTAGATGCTTTGCTTTTGTCCCCTCCTAGACTGATAGGCTCCATCTCAGTTCTCTACAATCGTACTGCTTCAATGCACAAGTCTTTAGGTTCAATAAGGACCCTGTGGGAGGAAGATATGAGAGCGTCCATATCAGATGAGCTCTGGTTTAAGACCCTCAGTGTGGGCAAAGCATTCAGTGTAAACTTGTCCACTGTGTCTTCTACACCAAGGTCTGTTTAGCTAAAGGAAAAGCTAAGTGGAAAGTCAACTCCCTGTCAGTGTGACACAGCTCACCACTGCACACCACCAAATGTGACCTCTGTTTTTAACCCATCACCAAAGTGAACAGTGGCAGCTTTAAGAACCAGGGAGCAGTGAGTGGAGACGGAGCCATGACAGAGCACCTCAGTGGGAACTTGGCAGCTGGTGGACTAGAACCTGGAACCTTCTGGACCCAAGTCCACTCCCTCAACCACTAATCCACCACTGCCCTGTTTTTTTTGTTTGTTATGTGTTTGTTTTTTGGAAAGAAAAGTGAGAATGTAAAATGTACAGCTGTGTTTCTTCAGGTGCCATCAGTCTCCTGCAGATCTCATTTTGCCCTGGGCTACACATCTGTTGGAGTGAGGTGTTGTGTGTTCAAGGCCACCTTCTTGGTTTTGAAAATTTGATTTCAGGAGCATGTCGTTAGGTCCAAATGGTTTAGTATGTTATCGTTACAGCCTTTCCTGTCACTGACGTTCTGGGTCCTCTGAAACGGTATTTCCACAGGTTCCAGACTGGGGAACCTGGATTTTGGTGGCTCTGTGTCTGTGTCTGTGTCTGTGTAAAACACCATGTGTAGGTGTACCTACGTATTACACCGTATCCACCCAGAATTCCCATCTGGACGTTATTAATCCAACACGTGTGGATGTGACTTTTGTTTGCAAAGTAAAACAACCCAAAAGAAACATGAGCGTTCCCGTGTGGACATAGCCTATAATGGTATAATAGTTCTGACCTGGCATGGCGTTAAAATCCACACTACCCTGACACTCTTAGGTTTTCACACTCACATTCATTCTCCTTCATTTTAATAGTTTTATTTAAATGTCAACCTTTTATTCTCAGGCTGGAGAGTCGTCCTGCGCGTCACAGTGTGATATACTCCACCCTGCAGACTCCGACGCTGCTCCTCAGCCTTCATCACATTGTTCTTATCGTCCAAGAAGATGATGTTGTGCTTTAGCCCCAAGCTTAGGGCCTCACACTCCAGAATCACCTCTTTCCTCTCCCCTTCAACAAAAGTGAATCCTATTGCGTTCACAGCATCTGAGAGAGATAAAAACAACTTAAAAATGTTCTTGCTTTTTTTTTTTTTTAAGAATGATTGGACTGGACGTACCAACTAAAAGTTCCACTTCTTGGATTTCTTTATGATCCTCTCCCCAAAGACCCTTGCAGTTGTACACTCCAGCATCAGAGTGCTGCACACTGCAGAGCCTCAGTGAAAAGGTTTTGGGCTTCCCGTCCTTGATGTCAAAACTTGTCCTACCCTCAAAGTGAGAATGCTTTTCATCATGGAGCTCCATATTGTGACGGAACACTATTGCAATGGCACCGTCTTTCGACCACTCCACTGTCGTAGGTGGCTTAGATTTGGTGGTAAAAGTGCAGGGCAGATCCACTGAAGTGCCAACCGAGGTGGTTATCTTCTTCATTTTATCCTCTGAAGATTGATCTGCAAAACACAATAGCTTTAATATTACATTAAAGCTATTTTAAAAAAATATAATAGCTTTAATATTACATTAAAGCTATTAAAAAAAATTATTAGTTTTTTCCTTGGCTAACTGTTAACAACTTCAACGCTACATCGGGCATCAGCGGGCACACCGGTCTGAGGATGTAATCCTCCAGAGCAGGGCTGTCAGAATCAATCACTCTGAGGGTCAAAATTCAAAGCCACACAGGATTACCATTTCTTCAACAGGCTTGTGCCCAGCCAGGATGCTGGGAGTTGGGTCGTGAAACGGATGTGCATTACGGAATATTTTGTTTATGGTAAACGTAGCCTTGATAAGAATTGGAATTCCCATAGCTGTGTTTTACACACAGTAGTTGATCACTGCATTTTACCCAGTGTTTTTCAACTCTGGGCTCTGGACCCCATTTGGTGTTGCCCAGAATTCAAATGGGGTCGCCTGAAATAATAACTGATAAAGGGAAAATACAAAATAAGAAAAATAAAAAAGGTTTTGACTCTTTTTTTAAAAAATTGTGATCACTCATGATCTTAAACAACTGTATTCTTCAATTATTTCAATATAAATGGAGTTGAAATTCAGGGCAGCATATAAAATATCTGAGCTGAGGAGTGACAGCTACTTAAATGTCACCGGAAATTTGTGATGTCAAAATGGTAGCACAAGCCAAAAAAGATTGGGAACAACTAGACATCAGCGTGTGTCAGACAAGCTGCTGTATTTGAGACATGTTTGCATTCTTTATATTCAAGTCCAGGTTCATCAAGCCTACAGGTTTGAGCTTGAAACTTCTATGGCACAAACTGCTTTGACCTTCCCGCTCATTAGCAGGTTCGTGTGGACTGCTGCGGTTTTTAATCTGGAAGCTGGAAGTCACGTGTGCTGCCCAGGAATGAAGTTACACAGTGTGGTACTTTCCCTGTACAGATTGCGCAATTAAGTAAAAGAAGCTAGCAGTGCAATGTCATGTGGATGTGTCCATTGTGGTTTAGCTGTTAGCGTATTCATAACTTCTAACTTTTAGCAATTATCTGGACACTTTCTGAGTGAGCTTACTAATGTACGTTATCTGCTTTCTCTGTACCATTTTTTGGGCTCTAAGTGATCTACTAATATTTTGTTCTCCTTTGCTCCTGACATTTAGCATTAGCGTTTTTATTTTTATAAGTAAAAGGCAACTTTAAGGGGCATATTTGACAAACCTTTCAACCTCTATGCATATCTGAGCATTTGCCATATTTGAGTTGAATAAAACCTTAAACCTTAATAAAACCCACTAAAAAGTGTCTATTTTTGCTATCTTGTTGAAAACACGTAGAAACATTTGGTTAACATTACGGTTAAAATCCATTTTACAAAGCAGAACTCAAACTGTACCTGAAGCTGAGCAACAGGACAACGTAGCACAAACCAGGAGAAGGCGAAGAAACATTCTTGGAAAAAAAAGCAGCGTGACTTCTCCCAAGGAAAAATAAAAGTAATTAAAAATAAAGTTTTGCTGGAAGAACTCAAAAGTCCACTTCAAGTTCTCCGTTCTCGTCTGCGGCGACGCGATCGTCAGAAGAACTTTGATTGTAAATAACAATTGGCAGCAACTCGTAACAACTCCTCTCTTGCTCTCAGTCTAGCTTCACTCTCGCCATTTCCTTCACTTCTGTCAGGTTTATTCTCATT